CAGGGGAAGCGGGGTCCCGCGCCTCCCCGGCTTTGTCACAGCAAAGCCTCAGGGGCGGGGGACCCCTCCGCCTCCCCAGCTTTGCTCCAGGTGTCCCTGGTCTGCTGGAGACGGTCCCCAGCAGACCAGGGGCACCAGCAGCAGCTTTTCTCGCCCTGGAGGTCCAGGTGGCTGACCGCTGCCTTCGAGCTCTGGGGCGAGAGAGCCCCGTTCGTAAGTGCGGATCCGACTTGTCGGATCCGCGTAAGTCGGGGACTGCCTGTATTCCTTTCCAATTATGGCATTATTGATTCTCTGGGTATTAATGCTGAGTGTTGATTTGAAGTCTTCTAAGTGCAATAAGACAGAGAAACTGGATCGCCTCCAAACTTGTTCCACAGAAAACCTTGTGCTCAACCTGGTCTTAATTCCCTCTTTTCCTTAGCCCTCTCCCAATTTTGAAGCTTTGATTTAATAAACACAGTAAATTCCCAGACCTTCTCCGTGCAAAGATAGCTTTGAAAATGTATACTGGTTGATTTGAAGTCTTCTAAGTGCAATAAGACAGAGAAACTGGATCGCCTCCAAACTTGTTCCACAGAAAACCTTGTGCTCAACCTGGTCTTAATTCCCTCTTTTCCTTAGCCCTCTCCCAATTTTGAAGCTTTGATTTAATAAACACAGTAAATTCCCAGACCTTCTCCGTGCAAAGATAGCTTTGAAAATGTATACTGATGTAAAGTGATGATATGACTAAAGTTTGCCTCAGTGATAAGACTGGCTTGGGGGGGGGGGAATGATCGGGTTCTCGCCTAACCCTTGCTTTCACTTCTTGGAACCCCGGGCTTCCGCGGAGTACTATTTGGGAAACAGTGATTTAGAGTGTTGTCTACTTCAACCTAGTCTTGGCTAGTTTTTGTGACCTGTGGAGAAAGGTTTTTTGAGTGGTGTTTTTTTTTTTTTTTTTTCCCAGGAGCAACTGCACCACAGCCTGAGCTCCACCTCCAGCAGCTGCCCGCCAAGTGGCCTGCCCCAGGCAGCCACCATGCAGCCTTGAACCCAGCTTCAGCCCCTAGTGTTGTTGGAGCTGGGGTGGGGCTGTGGTGTGGCTGCTTCTGGGGCTGGGGCTCCCTGCATCCATCCCCCATACCCCTCTTTCCCCTTCCACCCTCTACCAGCTCCCCTCATGGTGCTGCCCCTCCCCAAACACTCCACTTCCTGCAACAGATTATAACTCTCAAATTTGGGAACTGCTGAGTTACCCTTGAGTATATGAGCAGGAACCAACTGGCCAGTTGCCCAAGAGGAAACTCATTACCACTTCGGAGCACTGGCTCGCCGTGTCCAATTTCCTGTCCCTCTAGCTCGGGCATCTCTGAGGTTTGGGAACAACCCCCGTTTCCCAGAGTATGTTGGGGAGAGGAAAAGGAGAGAATCCCTTCCTGCTGCAGATGACCTGAAGCTTGAGATCTTGAGAACATCTGACATATATCAAAATGGATTCCTTAGGGCTAAAAAGCCTTCTTCCCCATAGTCAAAAGTAGACATAAGAGTCCCATTTATAAATTTGGTCAAGATTTCCTAAAACTAAGTGTCCCTGAAACTTCTATTGGGAGTCCTATTCCTAACCCTCATGCCTCTGATAGTTGGAAACTTCTTCTCATTTCTAGCCAGTTTATTATTAACATGTCATTTTCTGTCCTATAATCCATAGCTAATTCCTGAGGAAAGCTTATAAAAATAAAATACACTCTGGATATATAAGATTTCCCAAAGCTATGGGATATTGGAGAAGAGGCTATATCGTATAGTGACCAAAAGTAAATGTATCAAGAGTTCATGAAACAGTTGACTGCATTACGCATCAGAGCATGGGACTTGGCCCATTATTTGGAAACATTTAGGTCCAAGGTCGGTCTTTCAAATCCTTATGGGGAGAAAAAAATTCTGTTTTCTTGTCTATTATATAAAAAAAAAAAGTCCATGTAATCTTTCAGGCTAATATCACTGTAATGTTTCTTTGTGTTGCAGTACTCATAATTTGGGATTCATGGAAAACTATACTAAATGCTGATTTGGAAAGCTAATGTATGCTGACACATTGCTTAAAGATTCTCGAAGCATGTTGTTAAGTCACAGCCTGTTCTGATAAATTTGTGTGAAGGGTTTGCAGACTAGAACCGTTGTTTCTCTCTCTCTCCAGATCGGCCAGCATTACTAACCTGTCCCTAGATCGTTCTGGTTCACCCATGGTGCCTGCGTACGAGACATCTGTCAGTCCCCAGGCTAATCGAACATATTTGAAAGCAGAGACCAATGAGGATGAACGCAAAATTCTTCTGGTACGAACTAGATTTTTGTGATGGCTATTTGTTATGTGCATTTGTCTTTCTAATACTTCCTTTGTAGTACATCTTGTGGCTATTCTTTTTTAAAAATTAGGAAATATTGAATGATCCTTTAGTTTTTCCCTAATGCTTTAGCAAGTTCTAAATGTAAATAGTAGTGGGGTGTGCTTTTTTGTAAAATAGTTCTCTAGTCATTTGAATAAATTAAAGGTACCCCACCTAATGTTAGGCTCAAAATTTGAATATCTCTGTCTGCTTTGGTTGCATATTTAATGCAGCTTTTCTCCTAGGAAGAAATGCATTTATTCAGTCAATGACAGCACAGCACTCTGGAGAAATCCTTTTATAAAACATCTGATTACGAGTTAGTCATGAGAAATATTACATCAGACTAAAGACATCAAACCCTTGTTTACATATTTAACATTGGTAAAATAAAGTCAGTTAAAACGGGGAGGGATTGAGATTTCATTTAAAACGATTGAAACTGCAAAGCTCATGCTGAATCTTTTTGAACTGCTGTTATCATTTAAAACCCATATGTCTTGTGTCTCTCTGGGGTTTGCATATGGATGTTGTACTTAAAAGTACTGCATGGGATCTTTTCAGGGGGAAAAGGTGTAATGCCGCATATATTGGTAATACATACACATAGCAGTCAACACTTACCGTATGCATATGATATTTTGTGTGTGCGTGTGCGTGCGCGCGCGCACATGCACACCCTGTCGTCTTGTTGTTATCAGTAGTTGCTCCCCCTAACTGGTGAGTTAGGTGGGGGAGAGATGGAGCTGGGCTTCTGCCAATCTGGATCAGCACTCCCATGTTGACAAGATGAAAACCCGGGGTTCCTCTGTAAGATGCCTTAAATTTATAGTGTCTTCCCTCTCCTGCAGATCTCCACCAATTAGTCATCACATACATATCCATCATCTGTGAGAGTCATCTGCATATGCAATTAGACATCTGTGGCACCTTCTTTTGAGTGGTGTGTCAGTGCTGCCACATTCTCCTTCAGAGAGGGTGCTTCCAAAATCAGGCACTTGCTGCTGATTCCCAAGGTGTCCATATGTCTAGTCTTGTTTCAATGAGCCCACTTCACAGGTCCCATTGTTCTTCTCATTGATTTTAGATCTGGCTTCCACCCCTCTCCAACCATTGCAAGTGCCAGAAAGTGCTTGTCTTTCATGCCTTATCCATTCACACCTCATTGACTCAATAGGACAATCAATTAAAAGCAAAAGGGGATACAAAGTCTATAAGATATAATAGTGATAGAGATGTAGCCGTGTTAGTCTGGTGTAGCTGAAACAAAATACAGGACTATGTAGCACTTTAAAGGCTAATAAACCATCTTGTTTGTCTTTAAAGTGTTACATAGTCCTGTATTTTATAAGATATAAGGTTTCTATGTTAAAAGACTTAATACAAAGTTTTTGAGTTGTACATGAAAGTATACCAAGTTTCTCTATAAAGAGACTTAATACAACAAAGCTAAAGACTTATTACCAGGGCTTGACAAACTATAGAATCTACTCGCCCGTGGCGAGTAGATTTCAGCCATGTGCCCTGTTTATGGCGGCATGCGCAATGCAGCTCTTGCGCATGCGCAGTGCGGCGTTGGCAAGCGGCTTTTGCTGTCGTTTGTCAAGCCCTGCTTATTACAATGCTAAAAGGACTTGATACAAAGTTAAAATAAAATTTCAATGAGAAAATTACTAATACAGAGATTAATGAAATGTATCTACATGGAAGGGAAGAATGTGATGCTTGGTGGTGGTGTACTTCTTTTATTGTGGAAACATAATGGGTTTTCATATTGAAAACAAGATTTGAAATGAAACAATTTCTTCCTTTCAGGAAGGAGAAACACTCTGCAGCAGTTATCTAGGAGTCTTGGGGAAGTTGGAGAGCTTAGGAGACAATGTCTTTGTCTCACAGACTGAATAAGATGCCAAAGTAACAACAGTTTAAAGATTATAAATACAGCTTCAGGCATAATAGTTAAAGCTGTGCTGTTGTCACTTTAGACCTTGATTTATAGAATTGTTGTTGCATAAAAGCAACTTAAGATGTTATAATTGCTTACTGCAGTGCAGGAATTGTCCTGGGTCTCATGATATGCTTATGTAGTGCATGGAGTTGACTACGATGATAAATAGTTAATGGACTTTGTGTGAGAGAGGGGAGTATGTGACAAAGTGCAGGAACGCTAGAATGCGGAATGAAAACAGTGCAAGTTTCCTTAATCTGCAAGCTAAAATTTTAAAGTATTAAGATTCTGAGCTTGATTTCAGTGTAATACTCTAGGCAGTATTAAGATTACTGAATCATTAACAGATGAAATGTTACATACTCCTGCCATAGAAGGAATAAAGTGCTTGTTGCTAATAATCCAAGAACATACAGCAGTGATTTCCAACCTTTTTCCCATGGAGGAACCCTAAAATAACTTTTCATATTCCGAGGAGCCCCCACCTATGAAAATGTTTGCTTGGCCAGAAAAAGTTGACAGCAGGGAGCGCAATTCAGTTACTGCTAAATTATTGTCAAGAAAATTTATTTGTAAAGAGCTATTTTTCTCTCTCTAAATCTAAATCTAAATCCACCCACCCACCCCTCTGGCTCGACAATTAGACAATTTTAGCCCGGCACAGGGCCTCAGCGTGCCAAATGGTGCCGCTTGTCAAGCCCTGTGTGTGTGTGAGCTTACATTGTAAGACAAAAATTATTTATTTATTCCATGATTTCTCATGGAAACCCTGACGATGGTCTGTGGAACCCTGATGTACTTGCTAGAGAAGCTGGTACAGGGTGCACAGAACTAGTCAATCCAGTTAATGGGACCAGATTCCTGTAAGACGGGGGTCTCCAACTTTTTTAACCTCAAGCTCACATGTTCAATTTAAGTGCAATGTAAGATCTAACCCAAATACCCTTGTCTGTCTTCCTTGCTCCATCCCCCTTTGTCCCTGAATCTCATTCACTTTCACCAGGCTGGGGTTGGGGTGCAGGCCCTGTTCTTGGGCCAAGGGATTCGGAGTGTGGGAGGGGACGCCCTTAAGGTAGGGAGGTGGGAAGGGTTCTGGAGTGACCTAGGGGAGAGGGTATTTGCCTGGGGAGCACAGGGTTGGGGGCTCAAGTCCCTCTCCCACCTCCTGCACCGCCTGCCCCACGGATGGATCTGGCTCCCGCATTAGGAAAGCAGGATAAAGGAACCTCTGGAGGTAGGGGAGTGGAGTGGGGTGGGGTGGGCTGGGTTCTGTAATGGCTTAGAGGATGGGGCATTTGGCGGGGGAGCAGAGGGTGGTGGATTCAAGTCCTGCCCACCCTGGGAGCAGCCGGACAGCCAACACTGACTTCTCCAGGGATGGAGCTGGCTCCTGTATTAGGAAAGCAGGGTAAGGAACCCTCTGAAGATAAGAGAGGATTGTGGGGGAGGGGGAGTTCTGGAGTGGCTTAGGGGAAAGGGCATTTGCCTGGGGAGCACAGAGTGTTGGACTTGGACTTCTGGGGGTGACCAGACAGCCAACAGAGTATGAGACCGTCTGAAGGTAGGGAGGTGGTGTGGGCTCTTGAATGGACTGTTTGCCTGGGTAGTGCAAGATTGGGGGCTTGAGCCCCCGTCCCCCTAACACCCACCCGGAGAGCAGCTGGAGTTGGCTCCCATATTAGGAAGGCAGGATAAGGTAGCCTCTGAAGGTAGGGAGGTGGATTGGGATCTCCAGTGAACTATAGGGTATCAACCTCTGGTGCATATGACGGAGGGTTCAATCCCACCCCCCTCCACCCACTCAGGCAGCAGTTAGACAGCCAGCACAGGATGGACCTGACTCCCGCATTAGGAAAGCAGGATAAGGGACCCATTGCAGTTAGGGAGGTGGGGTGGGCTCAGCATGGCTTGAAGGATAAGGCATTTGGCTGGAGAGCAGAGGGTGGTGGGATAGAGCCCCAGCCCTGCCATGCCCTCCCCCTCCACCCCCCATGCCCATGCTGGAGTGACCAGATAGCCAACACAGAATAAGGGACCTACTGACAGGGAGGTAGGTTCTGGAGTGTCTAGAGCTGTGGTCACGAACCAGTAGATCGCGATCTACCGGTAGATCTCAGGGGCTCTAAGAGTAACTCTTGAGCCCTCTCTGAACTGCGCGCCTGCGCAGTACATTTACATTAGATTTCTTCATGTAATGTAGGCGGGGCTTCAAGGAAGGGGCAGGGCAGTAGATCTTCGCCTCTTCTCAAACTTTAACCCTATTTATTTATTTATTTTAAATTATGATTTATCTTGGAAATACAAGTAATGTTAAATCTGACCTTGCTCTTGGAAGCATTAGTATGGCCTCCAAGCTTTCTAAGCCCTTTGTTTGAAGGGTTTTTAAATGAAAAACTCTAAAAACAATCATAAAACCCTTTTTGTTAAATGGGAATTAACAAAAGTACTTGAAGTCTAAATGAAAATTTCTTCTTCTCTCAATCAGCTTACTTGATAACTAATGACATAATTGTACTGTAGGCTGAACTCTTAAATCCCAGGCTCTTTTGGTCCAGTAACATCCATGGCCCAGAGAGCCCCTGGGGCGAGCTGTGAATCTTGTAGTCACAGAGCCCTGACTTGGGCACCTGCAACCAGGGCAAGCTGGGGTACCCCAGGGTACTGGACCAGGGAGGTCCAACCTGCAGTGCTATGTGTTTAGGGTTTTGTTTTTCGGAATGACCTTTTGCATTTCTTTAGGTTGACTTCATGCCTCAACAGCTGTAGTAAGGATGTAATAGTGTAGTCGACTAACCGATAAACAAAAGCTTATAGGTTAATGCTGTAGACTACACACATCCCCCTTCTCCCCCTTGCCAGTAAATGTTTTAGCAGGCTGGCCAGCAACCTGGCTCAGTCCTGCATGCGCTGGGTCTGGGACCTATCCCCACCGCAGCTCTGCATTTAAAGTAGTCCCGGCTCGTGCCGGGTCTGGGACCTATCCCCACCGCAGCTCTGCATTTAAAGTAGTCCCGGCTCGTGCCGGGTCTGGGAGCTCAGACCTGCCCCCCGGACAGGGTATTCTGCCACCCTGTACTTCCTCCCCTTTGCCAGTAAATTTTTAGCAGGCTGGCCAGTAGCTTAAGTCCTGGCTTGCATCAGCTCCAGGACCTATCCCTGCTGTGGCTTTTCATTTAAAGTGTATTAGGAGCCAGGTGGGCAGGCAGCCTTGCTCAGTTCCGGCTCGTGCGGGATCTGGGAGTTCAGTCTTGCCCCTCCCCCTGGACAGGGGCGGCTGCCACCCCATGCTGTGCAGCAGTGCTGGGTGACAGGCAGCTGGTCCATGAGGGGAACTGTTTTTTAAACTAGCTTCCCTTGTGGACCAGCTCCCACCTGGCACTGCACGCTGCTGTCTCTAATACAGAGGCAGCAGCACCGAGTGGCAGGAGGCTCCTCAGAAGTGGGGATGGAGTTCACTGGCTGCCAGCCTTGTCCCCAGGGACTATAGAATAGTTGAGTAACTGATCAGAATTCATGAGGTTAATCGTATACAATTAGCATCCCTAATCTGTAGCTTTTTTCCTGTCATGAATGTCCATTTAAATGAATGGAATGTCAGGATGTGCTGGTGGCAAAGAGCTATTCTGGCCAGCAGTGATGTATGTAGCCAGGACAAATATGATTGGTAGCATAGCTACATTTTACACAAGTGTCAGGAGGTTTTATGGCAACAAGGTTCCAAATAGTAATGTAACTCACCAACGCCTCACACCCTGTGATTCAGAGTTGTCTAGCACCAGGAATCTGTAGAGAGAGCTTGAATCTTGGTGAGTATTTGGAAATCTTGTTGTTGGATATCCTGGGCCCTTGATTTTATTAATTGTAAAGTGAGGTCCTAGAGGTGTTGGACTATACAGAAAACTAGCTTTGTTTTCCTAGGTCTGGCTGCTCTTATGAAGGTGGAAGTATGGGGAAAGGGATGGTGGCCTGAACCTTACGGATTCAGAAGGGGGTACAGAAGATGGGAGGAAGGGATAAGGTGATGGGTTTAGACTCTTGATTGTCCAACAGGTAATAAGTGGAGATGTTGGAGAGGGATCCTTTCATAGAAATGAAATGATAGAAGTTACCTGAACAAAATTCAATATGAAAAGTATCATTCTTCAAGGAATCCCTCATCTACATGACCAGAGAGAGGCTTCGGTGCAGCATTCAGGTCAACAGCATAGAATGCTCAGAAGAGCATTTATTGCTTTTACCTGAAGAAAGAATCGGTGTTCCTTGGTTTTCTATATTCCACCGCACCCCACAGCAGGCTGAAAGAGGGAATTCGGATCGGTAGCTTTATTGCTACAAAAGCACTTGCATGATTGATTGGTAATCAAACGGTGCAGAAGCTCACTGTGTATATATAAAATATTACTTCAAAAATTCTTCCCTTGCTTTTTTCTTGATTGGCCTTTAGTACTAATCTGCTATTTCCTCAATCTCTGTTTTATAGGGCTGGGCCACTTGCTATGAAAGAATGGATTTAAACATAAGTTGATATGCATTTGCTTCTAACTAAATAGTGTATAACAGATTGGATTTACACTTATTAACGTAAGACTGTTGATCTAGGAGTCAGTGTGAGGACTTAAGCTGATGTAGCTACATCTAACTCTGAGGTCAGTCTTTATAACACTTTGTAATTGTGTTTCTCATAGGATTCTGTCCAGTTAAAGGATTTGTGGAAGAAAATTTGCCATCATAACAGTGGGATGGAATTTCAGGATCACCGCTATTGGCTCAGGACACACCCCAATTGCATTGTGGGAAAGGAGCTTGTCAACTGGCTCATCAGAAATGGACACATTACAACAAGGTATTCCTGACATTTAAAACTGATTAAATTAAATCCATGGCCATTGCACTCGTTGTTGGCATGTGTGTGTGTGTTTTTTTTTTCTTTTTTTAGTAGTATATTTCCCTCTTTTTAAAGCAAGAGAGCGAATCGTCAATGTATGGAGAGAAGAAAGAGGAAATAAGACTCTTCCTCAGGTGGATGTACAGTAGACTTCCGATAATCCGGAACCTATGGGATTTAGGTGGTGCCGGATTATCAGATATGAAGGACTATAAGCAGGTTATATATGTACGGTATACATTATATACTGTATATAACATGTTCTTAACCCTTTTTATTGTACATACGGTATACAGTATACTGTAATGTTTTAGTTTTTTAAGCCTTTTTTACCCTTTTTGCTCAGTTCAGCTGCTGCTGCTGTTAC